TTTGCAGAGCATAGTCTAGGGTGACATAAAACAGATTGGGGCTCTCATTTCCACCTTGATGTACTCCTGATAAGGTTTGAAATGATTTGGCATTGGGTTCGTCACTAGACGTATGTAACTTTGTGTGTTCCTCTATAAGATCAGGCCATTCAGTGGAATCGGAGCTTGGAAAACATGGTAGTGTTACACACTCATAGGCTATAATTATGGGTCAAAATGCTCAATATTAGGGATAGATCATGTGTAGAGGGACAGATTTTCAGTTTCAAATTTTCTGAATTCCATTTCAGGTTTTAGGAAATTCCAGTTTTTTTTTTTTTTTTTCAATTTTCACTATAGAATGTTGTTTTTTGCCCCCCCCCCAGTTTTCTGTAATAGAGTTCGGTTTTTACTTCATTATAATATTTAGTGAGAAAGTGTAACAATATATAAATGTTATTAAAACAAGAAAATAAAAGGAAAATGAAAAACTTTACCAGCTGGAATATCCATCTATTGGATAAGTCGCTCCAGCTTGATAGGGTTTTGTTTCTCATACTTCTGCCCTTAATCTAACCTGATGAGTTTCTGGGACAATCTTTGAAATGGAATGCTACAATCTTAAATAAGAATTAAGTGAACGTGCCAAAACCTAGAGAAAAGTAGCACCACAAAATCATCTCGAGACAAAATGCTACATTATTGTTTGGTCACTTCACTAAAATTATTAAATAAAATTTTTGAAAAAAGTCTAATTTGTAAAATTTGGCTACTGTAAACTGTAGGGAGACACTAAATGAGGAGGATGTATTAAAACATTACCGATTTTATCCTTTGATGTTTGCCGGGTGTCAGGACAGCAAAATATAGTAAAAAAATTAAAATGGTAAATGGAAAATCTGATTGTTTGAAAAATATTTCCATTTCAAAATTGAGATTTCCGTTTCAAGTAGGCCATTCTGTTTTTCTGTCAGTTTTTCAATTTTCATGAAAAATAAGTCCCTCTACATATGTAAATATAAAAGTGGACATTGAGGTCAACACCAGGTAGTGACAGTCTGTTTTGGGCTTCAACACAATCTTCAGGTCATGTGTCTAGTGTTTTGGCTTGACTATTTATATATGCTGGTCAGAGGTGCATTATGGGTAGTAAGGTTTATTGTATTATCCTAATGGTTATGTTTGAGATTATTCTAGAGGCTATTGAGTAGATATTATCATGGATATAAAGGTGATTTTTTGTAGCTATTTTATAATGTTGTTTCCTAATGTTTTCATTATTTACTATTGATCGCTTAATTATTTGTTGTTGTTTATTATTATTATTATTATTATTATCATCAATACTATAATTATTATCACACTTGTGTTCGTTTGTAGTTTTATGATAGATAGATAAAACCAAATAGATAGAAAGACAGATGACAAATATAACTAACTAGCTCTATCTCTCTCACTATATATATACATATATATATATATATATATATATATATGTGTATTCTGTGTGTGAACCAAGGTCAACATAATAAGCAGCGACAGTCTGTTTTATGCTTGAGCTCAATATCCATGCCATGTGTGTTCTGTTTTGGCTGGACTGTTTATATGTTAGTCAGTGGTGCATTATGGATAGTAGGGCCTATTGTATTATCCTGGAGGGTATTGGGTGGAAATAATTGTGGATTCAAATGCAGTTATTTGTAGCTATTTTATAGTGTTGTTTGTTAACTTTTTACTCATTATTTATTATTGATACTTAATTGTTGTTGATTATTACTACATTTACTTGTGTTTATGTGTGCATTCATAGTTAAATTTTTTTATTATTTACTTAAATTGTTTATTTATTTAGATTTTTTTTTATTTTATATAATTATTTACTTTTTTGTAGAAGGGAGGGATTGATTACCTTATTTATTTAGTTTTAAAGTATTGACTTTGACTAAAATATGTTACATTATCCAAGTTGTATATAGTGCATATATTGGCATCTTTCATAGCGGTATTTTACAAGATAATCGTTTGTAATTTTTGATTTTTAAGTACCATATTTGACGGCATATAAGATGCATAGGTCTATAAGACGCACCCCTAATTTCAGCAGGGAAAATCAAGTAAAAATTAGTTATTAGTAAAATTAGTAAAATTATTAGTAAATGGTACAGCCTAGGCTATATTTATGAGGTATTATTTTGGTTAAACAAGCCATGATTACAATTAAACAAAAAATAATAGGAAAAAAAGAACACTAGCTTATAAAAACTTTATTATATCCAAAGGTAAGAAAACAAAATAAATATGAAGCAATTATTACAATTGAGCAAAACAGTACAGTAACCATTAAAATTTTATTCATCTTCAAATCCATAAAATTCGTTGTCTTCATTATCAAAACTGATACTCATTTTCAATACTACTATCATCGTCATTAAATAATGCACCATCTTCCATTCTGTTGAAAGCTATGCTAATGCCACACTTTTTAAAAAAATTTCACATCAATTTCTGTTCTAATATTATCCCAAGCTTGCATCACCCATTCACAGACTTGTGCAATGCTGGATCTTTTTATTCTTCTTGTAAGTGTAAGGTTTTGCTCAGGCATTTCCAGTCACATGTTCCATTGCTCCTTCATGTTTAAGTCTAAGCTAATAGGTGTTGCCAGGTAGCTAATTTCAGCCGACTGTCACAAATTTTAAACCTAAATGTGGCATGTAAGACAGGAATTTTAAAAGATATTTTTAGTTAAAAAAAAAAAAAAATGTTCCTTATATGCTGTCAAATACAGTAATTTGTTTTTGTGTCTGCATCCTCAGAGGTGTTCTGATTGTTTATTTCATAATTTTTGTCTGTCTGGTATGGTGATTATATCTACTTTCTCTTCCAGACAAAGTTTACAGTTTGCTGATTTAATGTTTTAGGCTGATACTGTTTTCTGTATTTTCCATTATTTTAAGTCCAAAAAATTAATGTTATTTTGTTCTGTAGTAATGATGTTCCATTTCACTTTACTGGTCATGTTAATAAATGCAATCTATTATACCAGCCAAATAAACTAATCATCTAACCTGTATCAAAGGTCATTTTCAGCATGACCAATGAATTATTGTCTGGACGGTGCCTACCTTATTGACCTTGGCCAAGGTCATAGTCCACAACACACACTGAAATTTATTTGAATTTTGTTACTTTCTATGGCTGTATATTATGTGCTTTGCCAGAGTTGTGTAGAGTTATCCTTCTCCTAAACCACAGCTAGAAAAGCCAGTCTACCCTGCTATTTAACCTGTAGCTAGAAAGAGAAGATATGGATGCATACCTTTCTTGGGATAATTTGTTTGAAAGGGAATATAAGAAACTTGGCTAGAATTTGAACTTGCCTGCCAATTTTTTGTTCCAGTTCACTAACTATTGTATTACCTGGACTCTTCCAACAATGTCAGCATCAGAATGTCTAATCTAAATAAAAAGAACATAGATTTTTTTTTTTATCATCCATTAATAAGTGAGTTTTTTTTTTGTTGTTATTTTGTTAAAGGGTATCCATTTTTCCTTTCACCCATCATTGCTCTTTATCACAGTGTTCGTAGGTAAAATGCTCCCAACTCTTAAAGTATTAAGCACAATAAAGTAAGAATGAAGAAGTACATAATAATATAACACAAGAACATCATTCTCAGGTAAGAAATGGCTTGTTAATAGTAACACCTCAAGCTAAACTGCTCTCTCATAATTGCTTTAGAGAACCATTTCTTTCCTTCCATCAGCATGGCTGATACTAACCTCCAGGGGAGTATCTCACTGTCTTCTCGCTCTCATGTTTTCTACTGATATGGATTGTAATGAGTGAGTCAACTGCTAAATCTGCTGCCAAGAAAGTTGGTTCATTGTGCCATGCTAGACAATTTTTTTTTCACCTGAATCTATCTTGCACCTTTAATTGCCCCAGCATTGAATATTGTTACAACATCTGGCCTGTTGCTTCTGTTCTATATCTTGAGATTCTGGACAAAGTTCAAGTAA